CTACATCAACGCATTACGCATTTGTAATTTCTGGGATAATAATTATTACGAGCATAACATGATAATAACGACCACAAAATTTGCATTAGCATGTGATAATTGCAATAAGTTTTAAGGAATAAATTAAGTGCATAATTTATTTCTTTAAAGCTTAAAATCAAACTTTAAATTGGTTTAAAAATAAGTTCTAATCTAGAATACTAAATGATGCAATCTGGTAGCGTAATATTTGTCTGAAAAATTATAAAACTCTTTTCATACTTCCATTAACTTCCGCAGTTTAAGAAAGTTGTTTATTTTTTTTTCGCGAAGCAGATGCGGTTTTTCCGGAGAATTTTTCGATGTTTCTTTAAAATAGTTAATGCCGCACTTTCCTATCGAAAACGAGAGATACGCGTATACAACCGTGAGAAACATCGCGCACGATTCGAGCCGCTGTTACAAAGTGGCTTGTGCCAGCTGTCGCCGAGGAAAATACGCGCAGTAAATGTCACGACAGGAATCCAGTAGCATCGAAACGCGTCTGCTATCGCTGCAGGACTTTGAACAAATAATGGTCGAAATGCCGATGGCACGCCAGTTTCAATGCAGGAACTTTTAACTGCACCGTTGTAAGCGGATTGTATGTCACTGTGCTACACGTCAAATGTGCACGCGGCTTGAGCGGAAATTATTGTTTAGAATAGCATAAAAATGCTTTATATGAAATAATAATTAAGATTTTAATTCATATTTTATATTTATGAAAAAATTTAATAATCTCAAAAAATTGCAAAAGCATCAATTGAGTCACAAATATTTTTAATGAAATTATTGAAATTATGCAAAGGTTTAGAATAATAGAATAACTGTAAATTGATTTTTTTTTTCAATATTTCTTGTAAAATTTTTCCACGCGCAAATTCTACGAATTGTCAAAACAATTTTCTTTGATTAGATCGAATCATGTAAAAATGTATAAAACAAGGAAAACGATACATGAATACAGATTCTTTGATAATGTTCTATGATGCGTTGCTAGCAAGTTAATTAATTACTGTTGGCGATTACGTACACAGTAGAATGCACACTCAAGACTAATTTCGCATAGGTAGAACGCGTCACTAACATTTACTGACCGTAAACGTTATCGACCGATAATTACAAACCGCACACGTACTGGGCATGTTCAGATATGCTGTTGTACTCGGTATAAAATAGGCATCCGTTGATTTTTAACCGACAATCAACCGTCCTCGCCACGCTTTTTGCTTGTTATGAAAAACAATATTGGGCGCGGTCACGTAGAGCTTATAAAGTCCACGAGATTGCAAATTTCAGCGACTTTCGCAAATACGTTTTCGATGTATCCGTACGGAATTGTTTGTGCATGTGAATGTTTATTCTATCGAAGAACTATAACGTGGTTAGTGCAGAAAAAATACGAATACCTTCGAATTTTCCGGACGATCAAACGTCCATGCCGTCGGGATGACATAAACATCGCGCAACCACAAAAATATTCTGGAAATTGACGAGCTGTCGATGGCTGACCCATGCGCGTCTTTTTTTACTTGATATAATCCTCGTATCGTATAGATCTTCAGAGACAGATCTATCCGGGTATTTTGAACAAAATTTCAAGAAATTTACGTGCAAATAATTGCAATTTGTGTTAAAAGTTGAAATTGCTTTTTTATAATTGCTATTACACAGTGTTAAGGATATTTTAATAAAGTAAAGAGATATAATTCATATATAAGAGAAACAGGAGTATAATAAGAATCTTGAATAATTGTTTAAAAAATGATTGGGAAAAACTTTTTGTGAAAACTATTGTTGATTATTGCATACTACGCGTTTAACCTAGTGAATGAGTTTACCGTCACTTGGTACACAATCTAGGTGTGGAGGAGATCCTATTGCATCTTCGGGAATTGCGTGTCGCATTGATGAGGTTAGTTTGCGGTAGACATAGTGGCAAGATAATAGGATGCAAGTCCGGATTAATGCGCATCCGTCTCCGTGACGTTATCAGAATTATCATCATTATATTGCTGGGCTCTCTCTCTACAAAATTATGTCATTACACGTGTCCGTTTACGCATCCTTATTCTATCTTTAGATAACACAATTTTAAAGAAACGGGATTAATATAAAAGATTATTATGGCAGATAAATAATTGTTACTCTAGAACAAAATAATATTAGCCAAAATTTTAATATAAGTCTTATTTTAATAAAATATTTTAAAAATGGTTTCTTAATATTAAATATTGCGAAAAAGTATTGTTGCAAATAAGGATTCTAAATTCGCCATTAATTAGTTTGCCATTTTATATCTGTATTCGAGATGTGATATAAACCATGTGCTTCTAAGTACTTTTAAATATTATTCATAGTAACGATGATTTAGATAGTAGACCGTGATCGATCTTACAGAGAAGCTTTTTGTGAACCTTGCGGGCTCGAAAAAGAACGAGTGCACATCAATTTCCCGACTTAAATGAAATAAGAAGTTGATGGATGATGGAAACGCCCATGTTCAATTGGCGCCAGGATTCACCGGGATAAATTCTTTTCGCCTTTAGAAAGTTCACTTTTCTCAGCATTTTGTTGTAAAACTTAATTGCGTTGTAATATAATAATACGAATAAATTTTAGTTTGCTTGATGATTCTTAAGCAAGGTTATAACTAAAGTATATATATCTCTAGTTGTTCTTAATATTTGTGTGATTAAATTCTTAAAATAATTTATTTAGTCATCAATGTTTCGTTTAATTATTATTTTCACAATTAAAAAATTATTTTAATTTATAAAGCATAATTTCTTCAGTCAGAAATTTTTTAAAAATCTGTATAATCTCATTTATAGAACATTACATCTTTTGTTTAAAAAAATTGAGGTTGAATTGATTAAAGTTACTTGTTTGGCCGTTTAAAACCAGAAAATACTTTCTTCCGAGCATAAGCTTGCTTTATTTTTATTTTTTCGGACCCCATTGTCGCTCTTAATAACAATCTTGGTTTTCTTAATAATTTTCCAACAATTAAGTTACCGCGCGTAGCGTGCAATTTATTTTTCCATACAATTATTAATGCGATGCAAAGTTTAAACGACTATTTCGTCGGCATTTCGGTGACATCCCGGACTTTCCGTCTCGACAGCGATAGTTATTGCATATGTAACGGAAGTACTTTTTATAAGTTTCATCGACTTCTCAAAGAAAAGGATGAGTATGAAATCGGGCAACTCTGTTCATCGAGCAGCTTTCTTATTCAATGCGCGCGTGCGCGAGTAACCGTATCCTCGGCACGGACGGGCTCGTCGTTCTAACGAGACATACATAATGTACCAACTTCGCTCGTCTTTGCGAGCGGGTTAAGCCGGTTCGCACGCCACGCTTAAAGGAAGGATGAAGGGAATGAGTTACGAGTGACACCCGTAAAATATGACGGTCCCCACGAACGCTTCCAAGCTTCAGGCAACTTTCCCCTGTCGTTGAACGCGAACCAGATTGCACCATCGCGGTGAACTGCGAAGATGGAACGGCAGGCGCGAGCTCTGCGGTGTAACTTGATTATTATTTCGGAAGTGTCGCGCGCTGCTGCGCAAGGTGCATGCCCTCGTTTGCTTTTACATAAGATCTTTATAATGAACTATGTTGCTGTAACGAAAGACGCTTATAATC